GAGGCATTGTTGGGCCAGGAGAGCTTAGCTGCAAGTTTCTGAAATGTGGCACCCACAACTCCGGAACAAAGGGTAGCCCTGCACCCCGTTGGGAAGAGTCAGAGGGGAAGATGTGGGAGGGGCCCCAGGGCCACCATCTCTAAAGGGCCCTGGTCGCTCATTCACTGGGTTGGCCAGTATGCATTTATTGAGTACCAACATAGTGTCATACACTGTCCTGGGCAATGTAGGGACAAGAATGGATCAAACATACTGTTTTTCAAAGAGCCCATGGTCCCTTAGGGAGATGGACGTAGACAAGCAGTCAGCTGATGGCATGATAAGCACCCTGACCAAGCACAGTACAAGGTGCTATTTGTCACTCATATAAAGCTTACTTTGTACCTGCTGCGTGCCAGGGATGGCCCCGTGGCTGGAGAGACAGCAATGGACAAATTAAACAGCCTCCTGCTCACTTTCCAGCTGGCTCCCCGAGATGCCGCTGCTGTGAGCTCTTCAGCCACAATTGGAGCAGTGTGGCACTTCAGCGCCTGGGGAGGGGGTTAAGTTTGTTTGCAAGACGTGCTAAATCCCGGAATTAGATGAGATTTAATTTACTTTCTTTTCTTTCTTTTAAGTGGATTATAAGAGGCCACACAGGGTCATGGAAAGAACACAGATTTGGGAATTAGACTCTCTGAGTATGTTTGACCTGAAGACAGGACTATGGGGGGTGGCTGGTATTCCTGTTTAACCAGAGGGGTCCTTTGCTCATAGGATAGAGGTGGGGCTCAGGATGGCTTTCCTGGGCCAAGGCCCTGAGCCTGGCTATGGAGGAGATACAGGATTCGTGGTAGGGAACATGAGGTGGCAGGCCTAGGATCGGGACTGTAGTGTGACCATGACAGAGAAAGAGCCCAGGATGGTGATGCCAGGGACCAACAGTGTTAGCAAAAGCAAGGGCAGGGATGTGGCCTCTGTAGCTTGAGGCAGAAGATCAGTTCCCTGGGGATTCTGGTGTTCTGTATGGTATGCTTTGTGGGTTGGACCGTGAGCCCGGCTGGCTCCCCTGGTGCAGATTGGTTAGACCATGTTCAAAAGTGGGGCAGAATCCCCTGGGGCGTGGGTAGCAGAGTGCATGGCAAGAGGGTGGCAGGACTAGGTTCAATTTCCTGTGTGGCCTAAGGCAGAATCTTTCTAAGTTTCCCAGGGCCCTTGTGAGGGTCAGGAGAACCTAGGGGAAGGGGTGACACCTTGTGCACTTGCTATAAATGCACCTTATATTCCTGCATGCTCTGGTGATAGTAGTTGAATGCCCAGGGCTGCCTGTTAACTGGAGCTTCCATTAAGGGAGGGCTGGGGGGAGGAGAGAGGAAG